GGGGGGGGGGATTTCAATCTTCTCCTTCCAGTTCGAGTTCGAGTTCTCCACCTTTCCATTGAGCAAAGGTGATCCTGATATGTAAAATGCATGGGCTGGTTACATCGCTTGAAGGATGTTAGATCTTCGGGAAGAATGCTGTAGCACAAAGCTCCATCGGGTATCCAATTCTAATTTAGGAGAGGGAGCAATAGTTATTGAGAGATTGCAACTGAACAAGTGAGAGTTAAAACGTTGCCTGCTCTTGAAAGCACATAAGCAAGTAACTTACTTGCTCTTCATACGCGTCACCTTCAAGTTCATCATAAAACAACACCTTCATAAGTCGTCTATGATCAAGTGGACAGGAAAATTGTTTCTGAGCTCATTTTAGTAGGCAGTCTTGACAAAGTAGTGGTTGCAATCACTTGGTCTAAGGATGGGTGGTTGAAGAAAGTCAAAGCAGATGGGACACAAAGTTTCCTCCTCAAAGCTCTCCACTTTTTTGTACGCAGACATTCTCGAGAAGATACTCACAGCATCTTCAACTGGACAGTTGCGATGGACATTGCACTTGTCGTCTGGATCATGATTTTCCATATTTTCCATACAAAGAACGTGATTCGAACCGAGAACATTGATAAACGGTGAAAGCAAAGCCCTTGTGCAAATCTTGTCATTGTAAGCGTCTGCTCGGGACATGGTAAATAGCTCAAATGATGTATTACTAGTAACTGTTGGCGATCATTTAAACAAATATGTATTTAGAGGGGTTTATCAAGAATTTCGATGGTATGTCAAGACCATTCCAATTTCATTTCTTGTTTAAATTAATCGAAACCATTAAAGGCATTTAATTTTTTAGCTCTGTTGGTGATTTCCAATTATTTTCATTTTTTAATAACCATTTCTCAAAATCACGATTTTATAATATATAATTGGTGTTGAAAATGCTTAATTCATATTTTTAAAAAATATACTTAATTTTATTAAATAGTCTTTAAGTACTCTACTCTAAATTTTAGGTGCCTTATAAATTTGTTTTCACCGGAATCAAAATAAACGCAATTTTCCCTTTTCATGGCATATGAAAGGCGATTTTAACCTATTTTTTCCCAAAACTTTGAACTTTAATATATAAGAGCGACTTGGAATTTGATTGAATTTGCACTGATTATTAATGTCAACTTTCCAAATACTTTATTCCTAATGTAAGTGTCAGTGAGCCAAACTTCCATCGGATGCAATTATTTCGAGTTGCCTCAAATTTTTAATAGACAGATCGATTGTTTCTTGAACACTTCAAAGGAATATCCATGAATTGGGTTCTATGGTTCGATTTGATGAAATTGAATTGCAGGAAGCAACATCGAGAATATGAATTGCAGTTAACCACAACGAAAATTTAAAAATAATGAAACATTTTGTGATACAACCGGATCGATATTTTCACATCGATTAATGTAGACTATATAAATGCCACAACTATTGCTTTAAATATGTTATTCAATATCGAGGTTCTACTCATTTGGCAAGAACTTAATTTCCAAATTAAATATCAGTAAAAATAGAGCAATTTTATTGCATTTATTTCACAATTAAACCACTTTGGGGTTTCAAGACGTAACCCGATTTGATGTATTGAAATTTAGAAAATGAATTAAAAGTAATCAGCTCAATTTAATGTTTTAATTTATAGAAAAAATTTTAAATTATTAAAAACGGTAACACTAGATTTAACTACTTATTTATCAAAATATTTATTTATTTATTTATATCAAATGACAGGCGTTTTGATAGTTCAGGCTTCACAGAGGGGAAGGAACATCAAAGTGAGAAAATGTCGAGTTGGTTGGGGGGAACAGAACAGTGTTTCAGAGATGTAAAAGAGACAGACACAAAGGTAGAAAAAAGGTGATGTGAGTACTGTGATGGTAGTCGAATATGACATAGAGTGGGGTGATGGTAGTTTGAAGTCAGAAGTCAACTGCCAGTTAATAGACCTTTTTGCGTATGAGTATACGTTGCCCAGGGTGAACCACGTGGAGGTAAGTCTATCGCACACCCCATTTATCAAAATATTATGCGTTGTTTGGTTTGGGTGCGAATTTGATTAAATCAACCCTGATGAATTGGCGCAACTTATGAATTCATAAATTGATAATGTCGCACCGTCGTAGGTTTTGTGCAGATGTTTTCCTTGTCAAACGAAGTTATTTTTGCAGGCATCAGTATAAACTTGGTAGAATTGTCGGTAGAGGAGGTTCTGGTTGTGTTTAAGAAAGTGGGTGTGGGTTGGACAAACGGAAGGTGGCGATTAAAGTGTTCAAGAAAGGCAACGACCGCGAGCTGATTGAGAATGAGATCAAAGTAGTCCTACATCTACAAGGATTAAAAAATATTGTTCGTTTCATGGGAAAACCTTATAAATTTCTTGTAAGTTTTCAATTCTCGTTTTCATTTGTTCAGAGATCGTCATGCACACATTTCTCCTTCTTTCCACCAAGTTATGAACCTGTGAACACTAAATGTGACCATCTCGTGGTAGAATATTATCAATAATCTTCTCATTTATTTACACCACACACTGTTTGAGCTATTTGCGTTATATGGGGAAGAGTGAATTCACAATTTCATAAAAAATCTTGCATTTTAACAGACTTAACTCTATGTACACTACGTTCCTCTCTTTCAAACCTCCAAAACCATTTCAATTTGGCATTTCGTATTTCTGACTTTAAGACTGAAGGTCCAGTCTTAGTGTTTGAGTACGTTGATCACCGTGGGTTTCACAAAGTGGCCAAAAGCACTGACCTTCAAGAGACTACATTCTACATGCGAGAACTCTTGATTGCTCTCGACTTTTGCTGTAATCATGGCCTCATCCACCGAGATATCAAACTCACGAACATTCTCATTGATGTGGAGAATAGGAGATTGCGACTGACTAACTTGGACTGGCAACAACCTATCATTCTCACAGGCATTACTCCTTGTCAGTTTGTACATTGGATTACAGGCCACCTGAAGTACTACTTGGATATAAGTTGAGCAGTGATATGATTGTATTAGGTTGGCAACTAAGTCATTGCCGATTTCAAATAAGAAGGCAAATTCGGAATTTTTGTTTAAAAATATCACTTTATTCAATTAGATATTGGCCGTTCTTGTCGATGACCTTTGTCCATCGTTCTGGCAGAGTGAAAATTCCCCGTTCGTATAATGTCTGGTCTTTGCTATTAAAAAACTGAATTAGGTGTGATCCGACATCATCCGCGTTGTTAAAAATTTTACCATTTTAAGAGTTTTGCATGGAACGAAACAAATGGTAATCCGAAGGCGCAAGGTGAGGGCTATATGGTGGGTGTGACAAAACATCCCAACGCAGTTCCAATAATTTTGCCGAGGAACCAAAGATGTTTGGGGCCTTGCGTTGTCATGATGGAAAACAACACCCTTCCGCCGATTTGATAATGCCGGCCGCTTATCTTCAATTGCATCGTTCTTTCAGTT